CAGCTTCAACCAGCCCACTCTCACCATCCACTTTCCAGAACTTCCCCACCATGCTTGACTTTATCCTCACGCTCTCGTCTACGTTGGTGAAAACCTCGTAACCACCGTCGGGTCGCCACCCATCACCACTATGGCCAATCACTTCCTTGTCTCCATTATCCAGCTCGTAATTCTCTCATCAGCCTTCATAATCGTCGCACCAACTTCAGCCAAATTAGAGAAGCTAACGCACCTCCACTTCTACTACCACAATAACATCGCCGGCCCACGTGCCTCCGCCGTCCCAATAAACCCCAAAATCCAACCCATTGATCTTCGAGACCCGGCCGGCTGACCATAGCCGACGACCCGCTGACTTTCGACCCAAGCCCGGAGAACTCGACCTGAACTGCAACGCCTCCAGATCGCGATGCTTGTTATAATCCACATTCAGGTAGTCGCTCCCGTTCTTGAACGTGACGTAGCGCGGTAGAATCACAAGCGAATCCCAATTCACCACCGCGAACTCGGTGCTGGTACGGTCGTCTTCTTCGGACTTATTTTTCGCCGACGCCGAGGCTGCTGCAGAGGCGGGCGAGAAAGCCTTGGGTGGGGGATTGAAAGAACCCCGCTTCTAGGATTCTAGGGACTGATCTTCGGCACCAGTGAGATTGGGATTTGGGGTTGAGATTAGGGATTTAGATGAGATAGAATTGGGAATCGGCCAAGGCCTTGGATTAGGAGAGAATAGAAATTAGGAGTTGAGAGGAATTAGGTTTAGAAGGATACTTTACTTAATACGATTCTTCATTCATTATTACGTAAACCCAAAGTACATATATATAGAGATAATACGAGAAAACCCTAATAATAATCCTAATACGACCAAATCTCTACTAACCATAATTATCATTATCCTACCTAATGTATTAATTATTATTATTCTAATAATATATATTGCTAACATTCCACCCTCCTTGAAAGCGACTTTTAGGTATTTGGAGGAACGCCTGCTAGCTAAACTTCAAGGTTGGAAGCAGAAGCAGTTGTCTTGGGCAGCGAAGGAGGTGTTATTGAAAGCAGTGGCGGCTGCCTTACCCATCTATGTTATGTCTTGCTTTCTCTTGCCGGTGACGCTTTGCCGTAAATTGGATAAGCACATGGCTAGATTTTGGTGGGGGTATTCAACCGAAAAAGACAAGGCTCATTGGGTGTCCTGGAGGAACCTTTGCAGGAGTAAGTTCGATGGTGGGCTTGGGTTTCGGCGGTTTGAAAATTTTAATCAGGCCCTGTTGGCGAAGGTGGCTTGGAGAGTCGGACAAGAGCCGGGGTCTCTCCTGGCTCGAGTGATGAAATACAAGTATTTTGCCAACTCGGCTATCCTTCAAGCGAATCGAGGGTCGAGGCCTTCGTGGGGATGGACTAGCATCTTGCATGGAAGGGATTTGCTCAAGCAAGGATTGATATGGCAGATAGGTGATGGGGCTACAGTACAGGTGTTAGGAGACAATTGGGTCCCGGGGTGGCGACCGGAGGAGATTGTATGTCGAGCCTCTGCGCCTAATTTGAATGCTGTGACAGTGCAGGCGCTAATGATCCCGGGAACGGGAAGATGGTGTCTTGAGTGCTTGCAGCAATGTTTTTATGAGGATGTTGTGGCTAGAATTTGTTCTATCCCATTGCCGGTGCAGCCGGTGAGGGATAAGCTGGTGTGGTCGCGGGAAAATGATGGGGTGTATAGTGTCAGGTCGGGATACCATTTAGCATTCACTCTTAGTCGCCGTTTGCCGGGGTGGAAGGATGAGGTTTCCTTTTTTGACAGTGGGTTTTGGAAAAAGGTATGGGATTTCCCCATTCAGCCAAAGTTGAAGTTTTTTGTGTGGCAAATGCTTCGACGTATTCTGTCCACCATGGAGGCGATTGTTGAAAAGGAAGGAAAGGTGCCGGCAGTGATACTGGAGAGTGCGGAGGAAGGGGAGTTGGTCAAGCTACAATGCCCGGTGTGCTGGGAGCCTATGGAGACCTTGGAACACATGTTTCTCTCGTGTACAGTGGCTAGGGCTCTCTGGGAGAGGTCGGGCATTGTTGGAGGAGTAAGTTCTCCTCATGCGAGTAATTTTGCTTTGTTCTTTCGTCGGTTTGTTGAGCAGGGTTCTAGTACTGAGAGGATTGTCCGATTTGTGGCGCTGTTATGGAGAATCTGGAAGAGTCGGAATTGGGTGGTCTTTGATCATGTGCAGTATGCTATTCCGCGGCTTGTGCAGCAGTATGAGAGCCAGGTTAAGGAGTGGCTCTCGATTGTGCACCCTGTTCCGGTTCAACGTGATTTGAGTCGGGTGGGTGGGGAGATGGGCGGGGGGAGTAGGTGTGGCCAGGGGCCGGGTGTAGTGTCGTATTCCTGTTTTGTGGATGGTGCAGTGGCGCCGGGGTCTCATGGTGCGGGGGGGTTGGTGGTTCGAGATGCGATGGGTAGTGTTTGTTTTGTTCAAGGCTTTTCTTATGCAGGTCTTGTTGATCCCTTCTTAGTGGAATTGGTAGCCTTCCGTGATGCGATTCGGTGGTGCTTTTTGAAGGGTCTCACTGAAGTGAAGTTTTATGGAGATGCTAAGGTTGTCATTGAGAAGATTCAGAGAGCGGATGCTAGGGACCTGCGTGGTGGAAGGATCTTGGAGGAGATTGGTGGGATCCGGCGGCGCTATCAGAGTTTTGACATTGGTTTTGTTGGCAGGAGTAACAATCGGGTGGCTCATGAGGTGGCCAGGAAGACCCTTTCTTTGTTGCCTGCGAGTGTGGAGAATTTTGATTTTGAGCGGTGGTTTTCCTTGTGATGTAAACAGTGCTGTCTTTTGGTCTTGGTAATAAAAGCTATCTATTGTTAAAAAAAAAAAAAAAAGAAAGCGACCTTGCCCTCAAGGTTGCAGTCAACTTTCGTCTTCTTGACTTTCCGCTTTCTTCGTTTCCAATTGCGCTCAATCCCTTGAATTAACTCTTCTCGCGCAACTCCCACTTCCACCGTCTCTTGTCTCTCCACGTGACACATGTCATGTTCTTGATAGACCGTTAATTACACATGTTTTCACCCCTGTTCTTACACCGTTTAAGATGTGGTTTCTCGTGTTTTAGACCGATTTCACGCTAGGTTGTGCTTGTTTGTGATAATTCAGGTCCTGGCAAGTGAATGAAGGTTTAGGAGCGAGTTCGGGGTCGATTGGGCGAAGATCGGGCACGAGGCAAGTCACAAAGGAAGTCGCACGGGCACACCCAAAACCCGCACGGCCGTTCAAGTGACCAGTTTGGCCGTGTGGGATTGTGCGAGAGCAAACACGGGCAGAGCAGAAAATCCACACGGCCGTGCAAGTGACCAATTTGGCCGTGTGGAATTCTGCGAGGCTTCACACGGCCAGGCTGGGTGAGCTACACGACCGTGTGACCCTGGCCGTGTAAGAGGCTTGGAATTCAACTAATTGATGCGCTGCGTTTTGACTCACACGGGCAACTGGGTGAGCCACACGGCCGTGCGGCCTGCCCGTGTGAGTCGGGATTTTCTGGTTTTAAGCCAATTTCAAGCCAGAAGTCGAGGGGATTCGAGTTTTAGAGAGACAGAACGATTCCTAGAGAGAGAAAGCGACAAACAAGAGTTTCCAAGTGCCCTAGCTTGATCTTCATCACCATTGGAGGCCAGTTTGAGCTTGGAGAAGTGCCAATCAACGTCCAGGAGCAGGAATCCATCCTTCACAGTATGAATTCCGCGTCTGATTCTGCTTTTGCTTCTTTCTCCATGGAGTAGTTCTCCCTTTCATCTGGGTATGGAGAACCCTAGATTTGTATGTTAGGTTTGATTGTATGAACCCAAGTACTGATTCTATGATTTGATTTATTCGATTGAGGTGAATGATTGAATGACTTGAATCCTGATCAAATTCCTGTTGTTTCTGCTTTAACCTAGAATGAGAATATCTGCCTAGGTTGATAGAGCATCCTTGATTGAAGGTAGGGAGTTGGTGACTTTAGCCGAGGAGCCAACTCACTATTCTGTACCGGATTTACTCCGGTAGTGGAGGTTTTGTTTGTTAAGGCCTCAATCTGTTTACTCCGGTGGAGGTTAGTCGCCCGCTAGAGACTCAGATTGAGAGGGTCTGAAGACCTTTAGTCGAGACTTCAGGATGTTTAAGAACCTTCCGCAGTATAACTATCATAGAAACTGAACTTGGTAATTACAATCCGGCTTAACTGCAGTATAAGGGGAACCATATCCGGGTGACCTCTCTTAACCTGAATACAACAGTTTACTTGCTTTGTTAGTTTGTTAGTTTAAACCTGCATTAAAGTTTCATTGCTAGATAACAAGAATTCACTGAGTAGTCATCAAATCTAGGACCCGGGTTGATAATTAAACCCAAACCCGCTATACTACGCTTTAGGAAGTGGTTTCACTTGGCCAATTCCTAGGGTGACAGTAGAAGTGAGTCAGTTCTCCATAACCAAACAATTCTTCTCCATCTTTTTCGAAGTACACGAAATAAGAGTCAGAGAACTGTTCTTCCTTGTGTTCATCCTTAACCACCTTGAAATTTTCAATGGATTGCTCCACAGATACCGTTTCGTGCTTGGTGGTATAGATAGCCCATAGCCTTGCCCAACCATCTTTTCTTTCACCTTGAACTAGACCCATACCTACTTCGAAGAAAGAGATAGAGCCCAAACCAATATCTAGCCTCCTTGAACCCTTCTTCTTTTCTTTTTCGATTGGGCCCTTTGCAAGCCCACCCACCATAACCTCATCTCCTTTATTTTCCACGTCTGCCCTCTTCAAAATACAGTCAAGAGATGACCCAACTTCTTCGTGAAGCATATTGGGCTCGCTCGGCCCGTAACCACCTTTTAGCTCAACCCAATTAATTTCAAGTGCATGCCCACTTTGTTGGTCACCCTGACCCAAGTCAAACCGATGCGAGACCCATCCCGGCCCAAACTGCAACCTGCTCTGATGATCCGATCGAGCCGAAACAAGCCCAGTGAAGATGACCCACTCAGCTGAGCCCGCATCTGCAAGCTGTTGTGCGGCGCCTAGGTTTGCAAGAAGAGGAAATCTACCGTCGTTCCTGAGTTTCTCCCTCGGCGAACCCTTTGCCTCCTTCTCCGGCGACGGAATCGTCAGGCGGCTAAGAGGGAGGTCTGCTCGATCCATTCTCGTCTCTGTCCTCGTCATGCTGTCGATCCTCGATGCAGAGGATGGAGAGAAGTTGGGTGAAGTCCCGCTGAAATGGCTGCGCTCCTTCTTCTACTCCCGCGGCGCAATTCTCCTCTTCGGCGACTCAGTCGCTTCCTCTCTCTTCGGCGGAGGACGACCCTTCTCCTTCTTCTCTGGTAGCGCCTTAATCATCCGACATCATGGAAGAAAACCCGCACCCGGCTTCATCTTCAAGGTTGCCTCCTCACCGATCGATGTCGCCTCAGAAGCCGCCATCAATAGCCCGCTCCGAGCTGCCATGGGGATTGCCGCTCGCCTCACCTCCCACGTGATCCGCGCCGTCGGTGGAGATTCCCAGCGACCCTGCTCCTTCGTTGCTTCGTGTCGTCAGTCGCTGCCAACATCGCCCTCCTTCTTCCTCTCCGCCGGTGGTTTCTTCTCTAGCTCTTCGCATTCATCGGGGGTAGGTTCGGGGTCGACGATTGTCGATGGTCTGGTGGTTTCAGCAGCGGTGGGATGGCCAGATTCAGGAGATCCCTTGTCGTTTCGGGACTCGCTCCCGGCTTTTCTTTCTTCATCGCATCCAAATATGCCTGCGCGGTTGCTAAGGCAGCACCGGTCGATGGTGGATCCCTTGCTTCTTTCTTCGTGAGTTTCTAGGAATCAACAATTGGGATTGGGAACATAGGTTATTCTAACCATTCTTCCAAATCCGTTGTAGCCCGTACCTGCTCCTGCGAACTTCTGTTTCCGGAGACTTCGAGGTGGATTTTCTCCTCACCCTCCACCAATTTGGTTAGCAGCGTCGTGGCTTCAACTGTAGCCTCCGACAAGGGTGGCGGAGTAATAACAGTAGTTGTAGATTCCAGCAACTGCACTGGGGTTTCGTTCCTCGGCAACTCGGCGGTGATCACAACAGTCTGCGGTTGTTCGAGGATCTCGACAGCGGCTTCGACGGGTAGGGAAACGGCTCGTGATGATGGAGATGGCGGCGCCATCGCAAACCCAGGGGAAATGGCGACCGCATCTCGGGTGGTGCTAAAATCGCTTCTGTTGAGTTCGGCTAGCCTTTCTTTGAGCTGTCGTGTTATTTCTTCGATCTATTGTTCGAAGCTTGACATAGTTTCAGTACGAGTGTCTGCAACCAGGCTCTGATACCACTGAAAGAACCCCGCTTCTAGGATTCTAGGACTGATCTTCGGCAACTGTGAGATTGGGATTTAGGGTTGAGATTAGGGATTTAGATGAGATAGAATTGGGAATTGGCCAAGGCCTTGGATTAGGAGAGAATATAAATTAGGAGTTGAGAGGAATTAGGTTTAGAAGGATACTTTGCTTAATACTATTCTTCATTCATTATGACGTAAACCCAAAGTACATATATATAGAGATAATACGAGAACACCCTAATAATAATCCTAATACGACTAAATCTCTACTAACCATAATTATCATTATCCTACCTAATGTATTAATTATTATTATTCTAATAATATATATTGCTAACAGGGATTTCTCGTAAATCCGGTAGTTGGCCTCGCCGACGGTGCCGCCGGCCTGGACCCAGGCTGTGTTGGCGGAGATGTCGACGTCGGCGTAGAGCTTCGAGAGGTCGAGGATCATGAAAAGGGACTCTGTCTCGGATGCGTAGGAGAGGATGTCGTAGTCTTGGCTGCCGTTGCGGATTCGTTGTCGTGTTTAATTAAATTATATTTTTTTTGTTTAATTTTTCATTAATTTATTATGATAATGATGTGGTAATTGAAAAAAAATTTAATTTTAAATTTTTTATTATTTTGTAATTGCCACGTCATTTATTTAACGGTCAACTCTCAGAGTTGACTGACACGCCAGCCAAAGTTAACGGAGACTAACCGAGAGTGACCAAATTTGAACCGTTGAACTAATTTAAGTGACTACGGATGGAATAATGTAATTCTAGTGGCTAACGTGAACTTTACTAGTAATTCAAGTGACCAAACTTGCAATTTAGCCTAAAAATAATCATAAATAAAATTTAAAACCATGTTACAAACACTTAATTTTTTGGTTCATAATCTTGTAAAGTCAATACATAAACCTAGTTTCATATAATATTATCAAATCGCCGAGAATTCCTCGTTCAGCCTTTTAATAAAATAAAATGTATTTCTATAAATTTTATAAATAAAAATGGACTCCAAAAATTCAAAATTAATAAAAAAATTTATAAGAATTTTCTCTAACTTCTAAAATTATCAAATCATGAAAATATTCACTGGAGAGTATAAAAAATAAACACATCTAAGTGAAATACGCTTTTTTCGGCCAAACAGTCAAAACTCAAAACATTGGGGACTAAGTATTCACACTAGATTTTGGGGGGACTAATTTGGGTAATTTCCTAGCATTCTTTAGTGATGACCTTTATTTCATCGCTAAAGGACTGTAATTAGCGTCGCTAATAACACAGAAAACATATATACGTATAGCTAAATCTGTAACTCGATTTTAATCGTCAGGATCGATGTCATTACCTCTAACACGAGTTTAAAGGAGGGGTTTTGATGATTCTGGATGTCATATTCTCCTCGTCGTTCGAGCCCCCGCCGTTGTCGGTGTCGAAGCTACGATTCACATTCACGTGGTTTGGGTTAGTTTGGCTGAAACCAAACTCGGATATCGATTGGAGATCTAGATCCTTACCTCTAGAGTACAAGAAAGGGGGCTAAGGTCGAGGGTTCGACAATAATGTGGGAAGAAACGAGTCCAGAGTTCGACGTCAACTCATCAAGTATACATCGAATGGTGAAAAGCTCCGGGGCAACTGCTTCTTTCTTTCTTTCTTCTGCGGTTGCTTGCCTATTGGGAGGGGGGGGGGGGGGGGGATTAAATGGGGGTTTATTTGGGGGGTTAATGGGGAAATGTGTAGGGAAGTAATGTAGGAGAGGATAATTAAGAGACGTAGGGGGTTGGGAAATGGTCGGGAGGGCGTAATGGTGGGTATGTGGAAATTTCATTAAGGATTATCTAATTTTGTTTTTTAATTGGGATAATTTTTAATTGGAATAAATTAATTCCAAAATTAATGTGAATAAAATTGATCAAATCGATCAATTTCTTTATTACCGGCCGAATACCCAAAATTAGGGGTGTTACATGACATTCCCCAAAAATCCATACCCCAAGTCCACAAACAATGGTTTATGTGACCACCGAAACTAGGTATCAAACTGTGGTCACTCGGACCCCCTGGACCTGCTTCTGTGAAGGAACACTCCTACCAGAGGACGAAGCAAAATTCTCATCCTTACCACTTAGAGGGGACATATTCCGTACAACTTGACGAGCAAGTTTCGCATGACTCTCAACCTCACGAACTCTATCTCCTTCACTTGTTTTCTCCGGTACAGTAACTGATTCGGGCCTAATTGTACACTTTTTATCCCCAATTCTCTTTGACGTTTGTTGCAATTGAACTCCAAAAAGGTTGGTTTTACACGAGGTTGCTTGTGTTTCAGTGTGTTTCAGATCCTAACAGGTAACACCAAACCCGGAGTCGAAAGTTGAAAGAAAAGGAGCAAAGATCGGGCAAAAAGGTGGAGATAGCCAATGTTCACGGCCTGACATTGTAGTTCACGATCTTACAGGGCCGTGAACAGGAGCCAAAACCCGTGAACCAAAGGAGCATCCAGAGAGGGTTTTCAGGTTATTGAGGCCCAGGTTGTTCACGGTTGCTAAGACCGTGAAATCGAGCCAATGAAGCGGTGCATTTCAGTCTCAGCACGGAGTTCACTGACACGTTTCAATGTTCATGGCTGTATACTCAGACCGTGAACTGGGCGCGATCTCAACTTAAAAGGCCAGGTGAAAGGAAGAAGAGAGGGGGAGACCTCGTGTGTGAAACTTCTCCTTCTTTAGATTTTAGAGTCAGAAAGTGACCAACCAAAGAAGAGGCCAAACTAGGGTTTCATCTCCAAGCAAGGTTTTGGGAATTCCTCCCCGAAAGGAGGATTTCTTCTGCACAAGGAGCATGGCTTGTATCTTCTTGATGGTTTTCCTTTCCCTCTCTTGTGTTTTCCCTTCTCCTAGCATGTAGTAGTCCCTTCTTTCACTTGGGTGTTTGTAAACCCTAGCTACAATTATGTGAATGCTTGTATGAATTGAATAATTTGTGTGTGGTTGTATTTTAATGTGAATGTGGAGGTATTATTTAGAAATTATTGTGTTGTGTGAAAGCCTATCAATCTAATTGACATTCTAACCTTGCTTAGAGAGGAGACCTCCTTAGGTTAAGAGGCTCAATTTGAGATGGGTGTTTTAGGGTATTTCATGCCTCCTAGGCTAGTTTAGAGAGGAAACCTCCTTAGGTTACGTTAAGAGGCTCAATTTGAGATGGATGTTCTTGAGCATTTCATGCCTCCTAGGCTAGTTTAGAGAGGAAACCTCATTTATCCAAAGAGGCTTGATTTTAGCTGGGTTTCCTTGGGCATTCAATGCCTCCTAAACTAGTTTAGAGAGAACCCTCCTTAACCTAAGAGGCTCTATTAGAGATGGGATTCCTTGGGAATTCAATGCCTCCTAAGCTCATTAAGAGAGAACCCTCCTTAACCTAAGAGGCTCTATTAGAGATGGGTTTTCTTGGGCATTTTATGCCTCCTATTCCAGGTTAGTTAAAGAGAAAACTTCCTATTTTGTATTAGCACTTAGGGTTTGGTTGTGGGTGGCCATTCGAACTCCAATTCGAGAGTGAAGTCTAATCATTCCTTAGTCAATAGGTTGAGAGGGTCGCATTAGCGGCTTGGATCTTATCCCATTTCCTCAACCTAGAGACTAAGAGGCTAGCCTTGGCTACTTAGTAGACTTCCCTGTGGTTTATAACCCCCTAACCATACACGGTCATTCCATCCTTCAAGTTGTAATTTCTAGATCGGGGGAGCAACACCCGATTTAACTCTTCTCTCATTGGGACAACCTCGATTTACTTTACTTGCTTGTTTTCATTTGTAGGTTTATTAGTTTTAAACCCAAAAACGTTTGCTAGATAACAAACTTAGCGATTGAAGTAGGGTACATGGACCGACCTGGGTTTGACAATTAAATACTTGTCTTATATTGCACCCGGCTAGAGTTTAAAAACTTGGGCTCTAGTCGGGATTAATTCGCGGTTTAGTTTCGTGTGAGTCAAGTTTTTGGCACCGTTGCCGGGGAAACGCGGTCCATTATTTTGAAAAGGTTGCTTAGTTTTACTCTAGCATTTTCTATCTTGCCTTTTCGTTTTTGTTTGTGTTTTGTGTTTCGTGTGTGTTTTGTTTACCACTCTTCGTCTTGAAGGGTGGTTAGTGTGTGTTTGATTTTCCTTTTTAGTGTTATGTGTTTGTAGGTATTGGATCATGGATCCTTATGATTTCACCCAAGTGTGGGGGTATTGATTACTCGATATTTGCACATGTTTTCCCCTTTGTTTCTTGATCGTTTGAGCTTTAATTATCGCGTCTTTGGCATATTTTACGCTAGGTTGTGTTCCTTTGTCACATTTCAGGTCCTAGCACATAAAGTGAAGAATAGGCGCAAGTTTCAAGTCAATCAGAGATCAATTGCCGATTAGGGAGAAGAAACTCGGGCATGACCTAAAGAAGAATGGATTTATACCACTTTATGGACAAAGAATCA